GATCCATGCTAAGATAACTGATGAAGTAAGATGATCCTAGCCTTCATGATCCATGCTAAGATAACTGATGAAGTAAGATGATCCTAGCCTTCATGATCCATGCTAAGATAACTGATGAAGCAAGATGATCCTAGCCATCATGATCCATGCTAAGATAACTGATGAAGTAAGATGATCCTAACCATCATGATCCATGCTAAGATAACTGATGAAGTAAGATGATCCTAACCATCATGATCCTGCTAAGATAACTGATGAAGTAAGATGATCCTAGCCTTCATGATCCATGCTAAGATAACTGATGAAGTAAGATGATCCTAGCCATCACGATCCTGCTAAGATAACTGATGAAGCAAGATGATCCTAGCCTTCATGATCCATGCTAAGATAACTGATGAAGTAAGATGATCCTAACCATCATGATCCTGCTAAGATAACTGATGAAGTAAGATGATCCTAACCATCATGATCCATGCTAAGATAACTGATGAAGTAAGATGATCCTAGCCTTCATGATCCATGCTAAGATAACTGATGAAGTAAGATGATCCTAGCCTTCATGATCCATGCTAAGATAACTGATGAAGGTAAAGATGATCCTAGCCCATCATGATCCAAGCTAAGATAACAGATGAAGTAAGATGAATCCAGCCTTCAATGATCCATGCTAAGATCACTTGAAGCTAAGATGATTCTAACCCATCATGATTCCTTGCTAAGATAACAGATTGAATAAGATGATCCTAAGCCTCATGATCCATGCTAAGATAACTGATGAAGCAAGATGATCCTAGCCATCACGATCCTGCTAAGATAACTGATGAAGCAAGATGATCCTAACCATCCTTGCTAAGATAACTGATGAAGTAAGATGATCCTAACCATCATGATCCACGCTAAGATAACTGATGATGTAAGAAGATCCTACCCTTCATGATCCATGCTAATAACTGATGAAGTAAATTATCCTAGCCGTCATGATCGCCTAAGATAACTGATTGAAGTAAGATATCCTACGCTTCATGAATCCTTGCTAAGATAACTGATGAAGCAAGATGATCCTAACCATCATGATCCTTGCTAAGATAACTGATGAAGCAAGATGATCCTAGCCTTCATGATCCTTGCTAAGATAACTGATGAAGTAAGATGATCCTAACCATCATGATCCTTGCTAAGATAACTGATGAAGTAAGATGATCCTAACCATCATGATCCTTGCTAAGATAACTGATGAAGCAAGATGATCCTAGCCTTCATGATCCTTGCTAAGATAACTGATGAAGCAAGATGATCCTAACCATCATGATCCATGCTAAGATAACTGATGAAGCAAGATGATCCTAACCATCATGATCCTTGCTAAGATTAACTGATGAAAGTAAGCTGATCCTAACCATTTATAACCCTGCTAAGATAACTGAATGAAGCAAGATATCCTAACCATCATGATCCATGCTAAGATAACTGATGAAGTAAGATGATCCTAACCATCATGATCCTTGCTAAGATAACTGGTGAAGCAAGATGATCCTAACCCTCATGATCCTTGCTAAGATAACTGGTGAAGCAATATGATCCTAACCATCATGATCCTTGCTAAGATAAACCGGTGAAGTAAGATGATCCTAACCATCATGATCCTGCTAAGATAACTGGTGAAGCTAGATGATCCTAACGATCATGATCCTTGCTAAGATAACTGATGAAGTAAGATGATCCTAACCATGATGATCCATGCTAAGATAACTGATGAAGTAAGATGATCCTAACCATGATGATCCATGCTAAGATAACTGATGAAGTAAGATGATCCTAACCATGATTATCCATGCTAAGATAACTGATGAAGTACGATGATCCTGACCATGATGAACCATGCTAAGATAACTGATGAAGTAAGATGATCCTGACCATGATGATCCATGCTAAGATAACTGATGAAGTAAGATGATCCTAACCATCATGATCCATGCTAAGATAACTGATGAAGCAAGATGATCCTAACCATCATGATCCTATGCTAAGAAACTGTATGAAGCAGATGATCCTAGCCTTCATGATCCTTGCTAAGATAACTGATGAAGTAAGATGATCCTAACCATCATGATCCTTGCTAAGATAACTGATGAAGTAAGATGATCCTAACCATCATGATCCTTGCTAAGATAACTGATGAAGTAAGATGATCCTAACCATCATGATCCTGCTAAGATAACTGATGAAGTAAGATGATCCTAACCATCATGATCCTTGCTAAGATAACTGGTGAAGCAAGATGATCCTAACCATGATGATCCATGCTAAGATAACTGATGAAGTAAGATGATCCTAACCATCATGATCCTGCTAAGATAACTGGTGAAGCAAGATGATCCTAACCATCATGATCCATGCTAAGATAACTGATGAAGTAAGATGATCCTAGCCTTCATGATCCATGCTAAGATAACTGATGAAGCAAGATGATCCTAACCTTCATGATCCATGCTAAGATAACTGATGAAGTAAGATGATCCTAGCCTTCATGATCCATGCTAAGATAACTGATGAAGTAAGATGATCCTAGCCTTCATGATCCTTGCTAAGATAACTGATGAAGTAAGATGATCCTAGCCTTCATGATCCATGCTAAGATAACTGATGAAGTAAGATGATCCTAGCCTTCATGATCCATGCTAAGATAACTGATGAAGCAAGATGATCCTAGCCTTCATGATCCATGCTAAGATAACTGATGAAGTAAGATGATCCTAACCATGATGATCCTTGCTAAGATAACTGATGAAGTAAGATGATCCTAACCATCATGATCCTTGCTAAGATAACTGATGAAGTAAGATGATCCTAGCCTTCATGATCCATGCTAAGATAACTGATGAAGTAAGATGATTCCTAACCCATAATGATCCCTTGCTAAACACTGATGAAGTAAGATGATCCTAACCATCATGATCCTTGCTAAGATAACTGATGAAGCAAGATGATCCTAACCATGATGATCCTTGCTAAGATAACGATGAAGCAAGATGAATCCTAGCCTTCCAGATCCTTGCTAAGAAACTGATGAAGTAAGATGATACCTAACCAAGATGATCCTTGCTAAGATAACTGAGAAGTTAAGATGATCTAACCATGATGATCCCTTGCTAAGATAACTGATGAATAAATGATCCTAACCATCATGATCCTGCTAAGAAAACTGATGAAGCAAGATATCCTAGCCTTCATGATCCTTGCTAAGATAACTGATGAAGCAAGATGATCCTAACCATCATGATCCATGCTAAGATAACTGATGACGCACGAAGATCCTAACCATCATGAATCCTTGTTCTAAGAAACAGATGAAGTAAATGATCCTAACCATTATGATCCTTGCTAAGATAACTGATGAAGCAAGATGATCCTAACCATCATGATCCATGCTAAGATAACTGATGAAGTAAGATGATCCTAACCATCATGATCCTTGCTAAGATAACTGGTGAAGCAAGATGATCCTAACCCTCATGATCCTTGCTAAGATAACTGGTGAAGCAATATGATCCTAACCCTCATGATCCTTGCTAAGATAACTGGTGAAGTAAGATGATCCTAACCATCATGATCCTGCTAAGATAACTGGTGAAGCAAGATGATCCTAACGATCATGATCCTTGCTAAGATAACTGATGAAGTAAGATGATCCTAACCATGATGATCCATGCTAAGATAACTGATGAAGTAAGATGATCCTAACCATGATCCATGCTAAGATAACTGATGAAGTAAGATGATCCTAACCATGATTATCCATGCTAAGATAACTGATGAAGTAAGATGATCCTGACCATGATGATCCATGCTAAGATAACTGATGAAGTAAGATGATCCTGACCATGATGATCCATGCTAAGATAACTGATGAAGTAAGATGATCCTAACCATCATGAATCCCTGCAAGATAACTGATTGAAGCAAGAATGATCCTAAACCCTCATGATCCTTGCTAAGATAACTGATGAAGCAAGATGATCCTAGCCTTCATGATCCTTGCTAAGATAACTGATGAAGTAAGATGATCCTAACCATCATGATCCATGCTAAGATAACTGATGAAGTAAGATGATCCTAACCATCATGATCCTTGCTAAGATAACTGATGAAGTAAATGTCCTTACATCAATTGATCCGTGCGAAGATAACTGATGAAGTAAGATGATCTCTAACCATCATGATCCTTGCTAAGGATAACTGGTAAGCAAGATGACCTAACCATGATGATCCAAGCTATATAACTGATGAAGTAAGATGATCCTAACCATCATGATCCCTGCTAAGATAACTGGTGAAGCAAGATGATCCTAACCATCATGATCCATGCTAAGATAACTGATGAAGTAAGATGATCCTAGCCTTCATGACATGCTAAGATAACTGATGAGCCCGATGATCCTAACCCTTTCATGATCCATGATAACTAACTGAATGAAGTAAGATGATCCTACTTCAAGATCCATGCTAAGAATAACTGAATGAAGTAAGATGATCCGAGCCTTCAGACCTTGCTAAGATAACTGATGAAGTAAGATGATCCTAGCCTTCATGATCCATGCTAAGATAACTGATGAAGTAAGATGATCCTAGCCTTCATGATCCATGCTAAGATAACTGATGAAGCAAGATGATCCTAGCCTCATGAATCCATGCAAAAGATAACAGATGAAGAAGGATGATCCTAACCATGGAATGAAGCCTTGCCTAAGATAACTGATGAAGTAAGATGATCCTAACCATCATGATCCTTGCTAAGATAACTGATGAAGTAAGATGATCCTAGCCTTCATGATCCATGCTAAGATAACTGATGAAGTAAGATGATCCTAACCATGATGATCCTTGCTAAGATAACTGATGAAGTAAGATGATCCTAACCATCATGATCCTTGCTAAGATAACTGATGAAGCAAGATGATCCTAACCATGATGATCCTTGCTAAGATAACTGATGAAGCAAGATGATCCTAGCCTTCATGATCCTTGCTAAGATAACTGATGAAGTAAGATGATCCTAACCATGATGATCCTTGCTAAGATAACTGATAAAGTAAAGAATGATCCTACCATGATGATCCTGCTAAGATAACTGATGAAGTAAGAATGATCCTAACCATCATGAATCCTTGCTAAGAATAAACTGATGAAGTAAGATGATCCCTAAACCATCATGATCCTTGACTAAGATAACCTGATGAAGTAAGATGATCCTAACCATCATGATCCACGCTAAGATAACTGATGAAGCAAGATGATCCTAACCATGATGATCCACGCTAAGATAACTGATGAAGCAAGATGATCCTAACCATCATGATCCACGCTAAGATAACTGATGAAGCAAGATGATCCTAACCATGATGATCCATGCTAAGATAACTGATGAAGTAAGATGATCCTAACCATGATGATCCATGCTAAGATAACTGATGAAGTAAGATGATCCTAGCCATCATGATCCATGCTAAGTTTAATCTTCACACATTAAACCTAACATCAGCCTAACTCGTGTTAGTTAGTTATGTTATACTTTCTTTATAACAGTGTTGATATCATCTAAGGCAGGATACATACACCGAGAAGTGTATTTCTCTCAGTGTATACATGCAGTAAGTATACTTTCATACCAGTTATAGGTTATTAAAGTACTCTTGTCTGATGGTACCCTCAGGGAAGGTTCCATGATGCTGGTCCGGGGCTCTTGATTTAGGGAACTGGATCCGGGCTCCAGTTCCCTGAATTGAGATTAAATGCCTTCCATTCCTGCCCCTTCCACACAGGCGCTGTGTGATCCATACGGGTTTAGCACTCCCCCATGATAATAATTGGTGGGGAAACGGTTACCTAGTATAGCCATGTTGCAGGATCAATAGTGTGGTAGTTGGCCCGTTGCAGAATCAGTAGTGTGGTAGGTTGGCCAGGTTGCAGAATCAGTAGTGTGGTAGGTTGGCCAGGTTGCAGAATCAGTAGTGTGGTAGGTTGGCCAGGTGCAGATCAATAGTGTGGGTAGGGTGGACAGGTTGCAGGATCAATAGTGTGGTAGGTTGGCCAGGTTGCAGGATCAATAGTGTGGTAGGTTGGCCAGGTTGCAGGATCAGTAGTGTGGTAGGTTGGCCAGGTTGCAGGATCAATAGTGTGGTAGGTTGGCCAGGTTGCAGAATCAATAGTGTGGTAGGTTGGCCAGGTTGCAGAATCAGTAGTGTGGTAGGTTGGCCAGGTTGCAGAATCAGTAGTGTGGTAGGTTTGCCAGGTTGCAGAATCAGTAGTGTGGTAGGTTGGCCAGGTTGCAGAATCAGTAGTGTGGTAGGTTGGTCCAAGGATAGCAGAATCAGTAGTGTTGTAAGGTTTGCCAGGTTGCAGAATCCAGTATGTGTAGGTTTTTTTTTTTTTTTTTTTTTTTTTTTTGTCTTTTTTTTTTTTTATTTTTTTTTTTTTTTTGTATTTTTTTTTATTTTTTTTATTTTTTTTTTTTTATTTTATTTTTATTTTTTTATGGGCCAGGTTGCCCGAATAAGTATGTGGGTAGGTGGCCAGTTGCAGAATCAGAAGTGTGGGTAGGTTTGGCCAGGTTGCAGAATCATAGTGTGGTAGTTTTTTAATATTGGGGGGCCCCCAGGTTGCAGAATATCCCAGTAGTGTTAGGTTGGCCAGGTTGCAGAATCAGTAGAGGGTATGGTGGCCAAAGGTGCAGAACAGTAGTGTGGTAGGTTGGCCATGTGCAGAAATCAGCGTGTGGTAGGTTGGCCAGGTTGCCAGAATAAGTAGTGTGGTAGATGGCCCAGGTTGCAGAATCAGAAGTGTGGTAGGTTGGCCAGGTTGCAGAATCAGTAGTGTGGTAGGTTGGCCAGGTTGCAGAATCAGTAGTGTGGTAGGTTGGCCAGTTTTTTTTTTTTTTTTTTTTTTTTTTTATTTTTTTTTATTTTTTTTTTTTTTTTTTTTTTTTTTTTTTTTTTTTTTTTATTTTTTTTTTTTATTTTTTTTTTTTTTTTTGCCAGAATAATAGTGTGTTAGGTATGGGCCCAGTTGCAGAATCAGAAGTGTGGTAGGTTGGCCAGGTTGCAGAATCCATAGTGTGGTAGGTTGGCCAGGTTGCAGAATCAGTTGTGTGGTAGGTTGGCCAGGTTGCAGAATCAAAGTTGGTAGTGGCCAGGTGCAGAATCAATAGTTGGTAGGTTGGCCAGGTTGCAGAATCAGAAGTGTGGTAGGTTGGCCAGGTTGCAGGATCAGTAGTGTGGTAGGTTGGCCAGGTTGCAGGATCAATAGTGTGGTAGGCTGGCCAGGTTGCAGAGCCAATAGTGGTAGGTTGGCCAGGTTGCCGGATCTATAGTGTGGTAGGCCGGCCAGGTTGCATTATCAACAGTGGTAGGCTGGCCAGGTTGCATGATCAACAGTGTGGTAGGCTGGCCAGGATGCAATATCAACAGTATGGTAGGCTGGCTAGGTTGCAGGATTTCCCTTAACCTCTCCTCATAGGACATGCCCCTTAGCTCCGGGACTAGTCTTGTTGCAAACCTTTGCAATTTCTTTAATTTCCTTACATGCTTGACTAGGTGTGAGTTCCAAACTGATGTTGCATACTCCAATATAGGCATGACATACACGGTGTACAGTGTCCTGAACGCTTTCTTATTGAGATGTCGGAATGCTATTCTTAGGTTTGCTAGGCGCCCGTATGCTGCAGCAGGTATTTAGTTGATGTGCGCCTCAGGAGATGTGCTCGGTGTTATATTCACACTAAGATCCTTTTCCTTGAGTGAGGTTTGTAGTCTCTGGCCCCCTAGACTGTACTCCGTCTGCCGTCTTCTTTGCACTTCCCCAATCGTCATGACTTTGCACTTAATGGGGTTGAACTCCAAGAGTCAGTTTTTGGACCAGGCCTGCAGCCTGTCAATATTCCTTTGTAGCTCCATTTGGTCCTCTTCCGATTAAATTCTTCTCATCAACTTCACATCATCTGCAAACAGATACACTTCTGAGTCAATTCTTTCCGTCATGTCATAATGTCGTTCACATATACCAGAAACAGCACCGGTCCTAGGATTGACCTCTGTGGAACCCCGCTCATCACAGGCACCCTCTCTTACACCTCGTCATGTACCATGACTCGCTGATGTCTTCCTGACAGGTATTCCCTGATCCATTGCAGTACCTTCCCTGTTATACCTGCCTGATACTCCAGCTTTTGCACTAATCTTTTGTGTGAAACTGTGTCAAAAGCCTTCATACAGTCCAAGGAAATGCAATATACCCACCCCTCTCTCTCTTGTCTTACTGCTGTCACCCTGTCATAGAACTCCAGTAGGTTTGTGACACAGGATTTCCCATCCCTGAAACTGTGCTGGTTACCGTTGATAAGCTCATTCCTTTCTAGGTGATCCACCACTCTTCTCCTGATAATCTTGTCCATGACTTTGCACACTATACATGTCAGTAACACTGGTCTTTTTAAAAATTGGAACTACATTTGCTGTCTTCCATACCTCAGGTAATTGCCCTGTTTTGATAGATGTGTTGAAGATTTATGTTACTGGCACACTTAGTGCCTCTTTTCCCTCTCTCAGGACCCATAGAGAGATGTTATCCAGCCCCTTCACCATTGAGGTATCTAGATCACTTAGCAGCCTCTTCACTTCCTCCTCGGTTGTATGTATTGTGTCCAACACTTGATGGTGTACCCCACCTCTAGATCTTTCTGGAGTCCCTTCTGTCTCCTCTGTGAACACTTTGAGTCTCATGTTGAGCTCCTCACATACTTCTCGGTCGTTTCTTGTGATCTTCCCTCCTTCCTTCCTCAGCCTGATTACCTGGTCCTTGACTGCTGTTTTCCTCCTGATGTAGCTGTACAACAGCTTCGGGTCAGATTTGGCTTTCGCTGCTGTGTCATTTTTGTATTGTCGTTGGGCCTCCCTTCTTACCTATGCATGTTCATTTCTGGCTCTACGACATTTCTGGAACATCCTGTATTTGTCCACCCTGTCTATTCCATGCAGTATTTTATATGTCTTTATCATGTCTCACCTGACCCTACTGTGTGTGTGTGTGTGTGTGTGTGTGTGTGTGTGTGTGTGTGTGTGTGTGTGTGTGTGTGTGTGTGTGTGTGTGTGTGTTACAAAAAAGCGATATCTAATAAGCATAGAGATCTCCAGTGAATACTAGAAAGGACTGCCCTTCTAGCATCCAGCCTGTTACTGGGTTTTCGTAACAAGCAGTCAGTATCCTGGTCCAATTATCCATTAGAATTCAGTAAGATTCAATAGTGCTTCAGGATTACAACTGTTAGGCTACTAACTAAAGAAATTAACATTTAATAAATTTATTAATAACAATAAAGTTGTCTAGGCGTATAAGAAAGTAAATTATAATGATCAAAATAATCACTTCTCTGGTGTACAGTAGTATTGTGCTGACGGCACATATCACATCTTAATGGCTTTTAAGTACCATCTGGTACATTGTTAACATTTAATTACATAATACAAATATATACAAGTAAGTCTGTGTGTATGTGTGTAAGTGCTCTAAGTAGTTCGCTGTGTCTCAAGACTCGACTAGACTTAACCAGTGACTGACTAAAAGTCCTCACATAAACTAACTTCTTGACCAACCTGGCAATCAGAACAGCTTGCTTGAACAATAAAACGACTGATTAGCCGAACAGCAATATAACAAGCAACAGCGACACAGAATCAGGAACAAGGAGATAAAATAACGACACTAAGTAGGGACCATCAGCAGATCCTCCACAAAAGTCACAAAACTCTCATACTACTGAATCTAAGTTAAGCATTAGAAATATCCCCGACTGTGACAGTACACAGATACCAGTACAAATTAGGTCAGAAGCTACAGCTCAGGACCTGAGTTGCTCAGAGTGTCTATGTGACACACAACCTCAGTACAACGTCGAAAATCACTAAGTCTAGACAATGTTCTGTGAACAGAGTTACACAGAACCAACAACAAGAAAGTGACAGAGACGATCTTCCAACAAGGGAGAGCTGAA